CACGCACCCCGTGACACAAGAATTTTATATATTAGATATTTTTTTTTTTTTAAAAAAACCAAACAAATTAATTTTTAAGATTATTTATTTATAATTCTACATAGTCTGTGAATATTAATAATAATGTTTAAAATTTTGTAAATATTCCAGATTTATAACTTGTAGATCGGTCAGTTTATAATCTTAGGAAGTCTGACGGTTTTGCACAACGCAGTCCAAGAATTTGACGATTGTGTCTTTAGCGTTGCTGCCCTCTGGAAAAATAACCTTGATATTAGTAATAGTAGGCATAATTATTAGTTATAAAAATTAAATAAATGAATTCTTTTGACCAATAAAGTGTATGCAATAAGCTATAAAATATACAAAATAAAAACTCAGGAAGTCAAGTGTCTTAGCCTTTACTCTAAAGTTCCTACCTTATCGACGGTCGGTCATACAGTTATTTTTGCTGCGCAAGGTTAGGTACTACATTATGAGGCGACTTTTCAAAAGTTACTACCTTTCAAGATATTATTTAAAATACTATGGAAGTATAAGTCATGTGCGCATACTTTATTTTAACGCGTTGGTTATTCTACTGTAAGAATGCGTATTCGTGTGGTACTAATGTGAGTATCTGAATCATCACAATACTCAGTATCGGTTTTGGGCTTATATTTTCTGTACGACACTATAGCAAGTCAACAGTTAGTATAGTGAGAAAGTTCCCGCGGATGTACTCACTCATATTTTTACGTTTTTCAACGGTGAAATCTCTAATTCGGATAGACTTTGTGCCTTTAACCTATATTATATTATCACTCAAAGTCTATCTAGATTAGGGTGGCGCAAAAAAACCGACTATTTTTTTTTTTTAGTCTCGAGTGAAAAAATGTTAGTTTTTGATGTTTTATGAGCCCTCACCAAAGGACAGCTCAAAAAAAAATTTTAAGAGGTCACTCCAAATTTTTCAAAATTTCAAAAATCGTCAAAAATCGAATTTTTTTTTTTTAATTTTTTTTTCTCGTTACGGTATAATTTTCTAGACTAAAAAAACTAAGTTTCTGGAAAATTTCAGTTCAAAATTCGAATTTCGAAAGGTCGCTTATAATTTTTTTCAATTTATTAGTGCATTAGTTTAGATTTTTTCGAGCCCGTACAAAAAAAATTTTAGTTCCGGATGAATTTTTGGATGAACTTCAGATTGTGAAACAAATATGAATTTCATCATGAAAGTCAGCTGGGATTCCAGATGAATTTCATGATGAATTTGAATCACTCTGTATATGAAACTTAATTTTTTTAAT